GGGGCTGTAAAAGACCAGGGTGCAAATGTTTCTCTTTCTCTCTTAGGAGGGAGGAGAGGGAGGGCAGCTGTCCTGTTCCTATATAAAATTCCTGATTCATAAATTTAGGGTTCTTCTCCTATGATGCAACCCTTGTACATGTTGTCCTAAACAAGTGCCTTTCCTTGCATCCCCTGTGTGACCCTGCTGCAGTTATTGCTGTAATAAATATGATGACTCTGAGCTTCAGAAACTTCATGGTTGCAATCATGATAAGAAAAATAAACACAGATCATAAAAACTTACCAAGTTTACTGACAAGAATGGAATCCTGTTTGAAACGTGGTTTTCTGAAAGAGATAGAGGATGGCCCCCAGCCTAACTAACAGGATTTGAAAGAAGACAGCAAGAGCCAACAGCAGACAGATAGATTGAAAGAATTGGAAGACAGTTGTTGGTCGAAGGCTAGGGGTAGGATTGGAACAAGCAGCCTAAATGGTTTTAGGTTTTAGAGGAGGCTTTTAGTTTTTGCCCTCTCTTCCAAGCAAGAGAAGAAAGGGTCCAGTAATTCCCACCGTTGGGCTTTGGGTGAGTGGGTGGAGAATATTAGAAATCTATGTTCTCTCCTCTATGTAAGAGGAGAAGGAATACCCAAAGGTAGGCTTTGGATAGGTCCTAAATAGAAGTTACCTTGTTCACTGCTCTGTCCTCTGGGCAGAAAGAGAAAGCATTAATTAGTTTCTGAAGCTGACGCAGGTTTTGGGCATTGCAGCTGCTAAACTGCTGGGACCTGAAGGGAGAGGTACATCACTTAACGCAGGTGGGAACACTGTTGGCTTCCTGACCGCTCAGTCCTGCTCTCATCTCAGCTCCTTGAAGGTTTAGAGGTGGAGCTCAGGTCTCCTTGTCCCCAGAAGGCGGAGGTAGCTCTACACACTCATCCGTTTATGCTGGGAGAACTTTGGAGGGAAGAGATTCACTCGTTGATACCTCTGTTGGACATAGGTATAATGTGCCTACTTCTGCGGCAGAAACGGTTGTGGGATTCGGGTATGGAGAAGGGTGCCAAGAACGTAAAATGCGGAGCCATGGTTGCATGTGAGTTCAGAAAGAAATAGCTCTGGCATGGCAGGGATGCTGAGAAGGGCAGAGGCAAGGGGCTGCATAAAAATATAAGAGGATAAACCTCTCCACCCACCCACCGCAACTAGTCTCCACTGGCACTGCAGCCGCCACTGCTCCCAGCTGGGAGAGAACCGGAGACCTCGGCAGCAGTGACCTTAATCTCTGAAACACTATGTTAAACTGTTAGGACTTTGAGCAAAACTTGAAAAGAAACAAAAGTTTACGCTGTATTGTTTTGTTGCTATTATGTCTGACCATATAGTGGAAATAATTGCAGGACTTTTTATGCTTGTAATTCCTCACCTAGTTGCTAGAAGGGATTTCTTGAGTTAGGAATAACTAAAAATAAAAAGTTTTAGTGGGATCTGCCTTAGAGACAGAATAACTGTCTGACTGAGGACTTATGCTACTTGCGGAAAGGGAGCCTGTGGAAATTCTGGTGATGATGACATTAAGAAAAATATGATTTCAGATACTAAATTAAATCAAGAGTTTTTTTTTTTTTAACCTTGGTTATAAAAAGGTTTTTATTTTATTTTATTTTATGTTTTTTAATCACAGTTGTTTAGGATTTAGAAGGTCAGCTAAAGGTATTCCCTGTTCATAATTCTCAAAGTTGAAGAAACTTTAATTCTTAAAGCATTGTTTCTAGAGAGATAACTATGATGAAAGTGTAAAAATTACTTGTGGATTTTTATACTGAAAGAATAACTTTACTTTTATTTGATGATGCTATAAGATACTCCCTACTTAGAATTATAGACTTAAGAATTTCTACAAAGAGTGGAGGGGTAGACATTTCTAATAAGACTTTGTTATTCTCCTGTGTCTTTTTCAATTATTGGGATGATTTTATCTAAAATTGCACAAACCAACTGACAAAAAATGTTATAAATTGTAGTAAATTTGAGTGTAAGAAAATTTTAAATCATAGATATGAAATTGAAAGTTAGGTAAATATGTTCAAATCTACCTAATCCCCAAAGGCCACATTCTGGTTCTGTGTTTTAAATAATGCCATATTTAATCAATGGATCAACCAAATTCTTAGAGATGCTATGACTAGTAAAATGTTTAAGCAAAATATATCTTTAAAAAAGTAGAATTTCTGCTCTTCCGAATTGGAGAGCTTTGTAATAAAATCCCCAAGGATGTGAAGTATATTCCATTTGGCGTCCTAGAGGTTTATTTGCTATGAAGACATAGAGGTTTATTTGCTAATTATATTTTTTTCCTTTCTTAATTTGGTACAAAAAATTATTCACAATTTAAGCCGCCATCCCTTCTTTCTGGGAACTCATTTAAGCTAATGTATTCTGTAATATTCCAAGTAATGTTGGAATAATCATGTTCTATCCTGTTATGTAATAAAGATGATAGATAAAATTTGCTCTCAATTTTGTGTAATTTTTGCTTCACTTTTGCTGTAACACCATGTCCCTATAACTATACATTATTAGAGTTAGTTTTTTATAGTGTTAGAAATTTCTGCATTTCATATGATTGCTGCTAAAGGTATTAAGGATGATTAGTTCTATTTTTCAACAACGAAATCCCTGTACCAGAAATAGAAAGTGGAAACAGGCAAATGTGGCTGAACAAATGGATGAATGTGATTGTTTTATTTACTCACTCAAAAACATTGAGTGCTAAATATGAGTAGGACATCGTTTTGTTTACTGGCCATGCAGATGTAAACAGAACTTACAGAAATTGCTTTTCTTAAGAAGCTTATATTCTAGGGTAATGAAACAGACAACAAGGAAAACTTGTGAGTAAAATCTGAAGTATATTAAATGCTAAGGAGAAAGATCAAGCGGGGAAGAGGGGTAGCCATGGTAGAAGGATGGCGGAGATGAGGTGTTTGGTTATTGGTTCATGGCTGCATCTTCTGGTAGAATGTACATTACCTGAAGGCAGGGGCACTACCCGAAGACAAGGACTCTGCCTGATGTTGCTTACCATCACACCCCAACGTGCACCATGTGGCACTTAACGCATGCTGAATGAATGAATGGATAAACTTGGTGTAGAGTGGATCCTCCCCTTATCCTGATCTACTCTTTTTTCATGCTACTTTATATACTGTATAATGTTATAATTAGTTATGTTTTTTTTATTTAGTGTCTGCTTAACTCAGCTAGAAGATAACCTGCCCAAGGGTAAAAATATTTATTTATTTCATACACTGATATACCCCAAGATCCTAGAACATTGCCTGAGAGAGTAAGACTCAGTAAGTATTTGTTGAATGAATGAATGAATCTATGAAGTCCTTGTCCCTGAGGAAACAATATAGCTATTAGTTTACCATAGAGGAATTGTACTGCTTTTGGCAAGAAACTTTTTTTTTTTTTTTTTGGCAACATCACACATTCTGACAAATGTGTGACAAATTTGTGCTACTGACAAATTTATAATTTGTGTGTTCAAAAATGGTATGAATAAAATGCTTAGGAAGCTGATCCTGATGCAAAATTCATCTGCCTTAGAAAATTAAGAAACACCTGCACATGGAAATGCATACCATTTTTAGTCATATTAGCTTAAACCTGGACACAACCCAAGTGTCCATTAACATGTAAAAGGATTTAAAAATGGTATATCTATATAATAAAATATTGTTCAATAATATAAAAAAATAAGGTGGAGGCATGCACACTAATATGGTATATTCTCACAGAGGAATGTTGGAAGTACAAAAAAATATATGATTATTCAACTCTCAGTGAGAGTGTGCCTCTATTCTTAAGTATTTTCAAAAGGGCCCTGTCAAGAAAACAAAAATATCTGTTCAATTTTTAGAAAAATGAAAGAGTGCGTAAATACAGATGAAAGAAGTTCTTTAGTTAGACTTGACAGTTGACAGACCTGGGGTAGATGTTTTCACTGGCTGAATGGTACTACAAATGTTTCTGTTGTGGGTGTTTTTATTTGAAGAAAATGTTTTTATATCCCTTCTCAACCTAGAAACATAGCCATATTCAAAAATTATTTTCTGACAAAGCTAATGAGAGTTTCTTTTGAAACCGTAAGAAAGATCAGAGGCTTAAAAGAGGTGCAGTTTACACTTGAAAGAACCACAGGCAACCTAGAAACACATCCTGAAGAGCACAGTTTAGGAAACTAACACCTGAGAATGAATGCCCTGTACGAACATGACATCACTGATTAGGGCACAAAACTCAAGCACGCCATATTTTCCTTTCTGGCCATCTTGAAATTCCTAGTGATTTTCTGACAGCATTTTGGAAACATTTTTGTTCATGATTTATACATGACTATTAGAATAGATTTTAATTTCTTGAGGGCAAGACACTGAGACTTCTGGTAAACCACATCCTGCCTAGTGCCATGGGCAGGTGGCAGGTACTCTCTAAAACAGCAATCAACATCCATGAAGCCATTTCCAGTAGAACACTGTGGACTAAATTATTTTCACTGAGAAGATTATAATCCTTTATTGAGAACTTAGAATTACATCACAATAGGTAATATCTACTGGTATTTCATAATCCTAATTTGCCTCTTTGCTTCTTTTTGTCTTTCCTGGAGCTTTTAGAAGATTCTATGTTTACACTATGTTTCCAATAACAGTACAGTTTCTCAGAACCCTGGTACTGTGTACTGTGCCACAAAGAACAGTTTTGTGGTGAAATAAATTATGAAATACTGTGTAACATTTTCCTTCTATCAGAGTTACAACGCAAGCTAAGGTTTTAAAAACTTGAAGAAAATCTGTAATAAAGTGACTCCTTTGACTTTGTTTAACCCGGCATCTCCGCAACTTACTTTTTTCAGAACTCTTTTTTAGTGTAAAGATGTCTATTTTTAAAAAAATGTATACAATACCATCTATTTTAAGACACACTATTTATGTGCCACCAGGAAAGGAAAACATGAACAATATGCCTTTATTTTTAAGACTTATTTAAAAGATAATGTCAACAAAACACAAACTTTAGGAAATATAAGTTTACACTAGAAAATAAAATGGAGCCATATATTGTAGAAATAAAATATTAAAATTAAAATCCTTTAAATCATCTTATCCAATTTAATAATTTCAGTACTAGATTACAGATTATTTTATACATTTTCACAAACTGTGAGTTGTGATGTAAATGTGTTATATCACAGTCCTTTGAGCTGTGATATAAATGTATTTAATGGTATGCTGTCGTACCACCACACACATTTTCTTATCACAGTTATAACTTCAAAAATCACCACTCTAGCTATCTGTGACTTTTCAAGTGTATACTATGAGGCTTAGAGGCCTCTGCATTAGGAGAGGACACTTCAAGGAAAACTCTAGCGTCTACAGGAAACATACCAACCTATGCTCATTGATGACCCATGATAAACTTTACTACTAATAATACTCCTTTATTCTCTTCATCACATTTGCCTGTGGGATTTCCAAACAAGCTTACTTACTCCAGGTAGGATCCGTATCTTCCATTTCTCTGTGTCTCTCCAGTGTCCACTTTGTATAAGAGTAAGGTTATTACCTTTAATGGCAAAAACCACAACCACTTTTGCACCAACCTAATATAAATATACAGGAACATCTTTCTCCATGCCATAGCAAGTGGAAGCATCTCTCTGTAAAATCGTATTATATTACTGTGGTTGTTAGCAAACCATTCCTTCAATTGCCTATTAGTAAATATTTTTGTTTGTTAGGATGAATGATACAATTTTACCTAGAAGTTAGATCAGAAAATCCACACTAAATTTTCTAGTGTCATAAAATAAATCATTTTAATAATTAAGATACATAAATAGTTTATGATAGAAACAATAAAGTTGTCTCAACTCTGCACAAACATTGAATTTCCAAGTAATTTGTAAGGAATATATTCATCTTACTACATTCAAAATCATGGTTGAACAATGATGATTATAATGTTTTATGAATGATGTTTTTCATAGTGTATGAAGTCACATAGTATTACAGTATAGTATTACAGTGCTTCGTAATTTGAAGAAATGAAATAAAATTCTTGTGATGGTATGCAGGAAAGAAAAAATAATTAAAAGTCATTTGCAAAACTTTTTACAAAAACAAAATATTATTTTTCTGTAAAAATAAATTAGATCTTTTATACTCACATGCTCTTCTCTTAAAGTGTTTAGAAAATAGTTACATTCATTGTTGGCAGTGTGCTCAAACATTCTTATTTGCCATTCCCTCATACATGATAAAACGAGGTGCAAGCTGTTCATATGTGAGAAAAACAGCTTGTTTTTCACAGGCAAAGAAACATATATATATAAAATAGAATTAATTTAAAAACCCAAGTGTCATATGACAGAGATACCAAAAATTCACCAAGAAAATATATTCTTCAAGGCCTTTGAGGTGACACAATCTTTAACTATAATTTATTAAAGGTAGTTTTAATCATGCTACCCTGTAACTTCCATCAAATTAGCATGCTCGTGGATGGTAGGTTATTATTCTCCTCCTATAATTTAAAGCAGTGTTTGGTCAATTGACTGAAGCACAGCAGTAGAACTCAAGACAGACCACGTTTTATAAAGGAGCAAGAGAAATAAACATCTCTGTTCTAAGTGTGGCTTGCAAGAGTAGCACCTTTGGCACTGAGCAGAGCAGTTTTTGGTGTGGTTTCCAGGTGGCAGAAGTCTCTGGAGTGGCACAGCATGAAAACAAGCCTGATGCTTATGGCAGCGATATTATTGAGCCACATTTTGCTGGCTTACCTAGGAAACAGTTGAAAAATAAGAACTGATTTAAGTCTAACCAAACAGGAAATAATTTGTGCTTAGCCACAAGTAACACCTGAATGGCAAGTTGAACGTGAGCCTGCTTTCTGCTGTTTCTTCTTTATTTTGCTTTTCTTTTGCTTTTTCTTAGCCTGATTTTTGCTTGGCTTATTTTTCTTGGTTTCCTCTTTATACCATGGTCCCCAGACCCCTCCATTGAGCCGAGGGTTACTTCTGGGGTCTTTGGGGGGGTACCTCACTGGTACTGCCGTTTTGTTGAACTGTGAGAGCCTCCGTAGGAGCTTCTTCACGATTCCGGGGTACCTGTTAGATAGGTCCACCCTCTCATATGGGTCGGCTGTGATGTTGAAAAGCCATACACTTTTGCCAGTTGACAAGGTAATCCGTTCATTGTGCCACCGGTTCGGCCCCAGATTGCTGAAAGACTGAGGGGGGACCCAGTCGCTGTAGCCAGGATTTCCCGTAAGCAATTTCCAGTGCTGCACCCTGATGGCCGACTGGATGGCGGTGTTCCAGATCCCATAGCCTGCTGCCCAGGAGCCATTTTTTGCCTTGGTGTATATGGGGTCAATGTTATGCAAAATATCTACTCGGGGTGAGCGAAGACCCTCGCTTATGGTCTCCCAGATGTCATAGCCATCTATTTGAATGTCCTCATCGATCTGTCCTTCAGCCAGTGAAATCAGAGTGGGATACCAGTCAGTGATGTGCACAAGTTCCTTACACACTGTTCCCTTGTTTTTCAGAAGTGGGCTATGCACAAAGCCAACAGCCCGGATCCCTCCTTCCCAATATGTTCCTTTGCTACCTCTGAGAGGCCAGTTACTCCCTCCTGCCGTAGGCTGGCCACCATTATCTGAAGAGTAAATGATAATGCTGTTGTTATAGAAACCATATGTCTTTAGAGCCAATGTCACGTTGTTGATTGCCTCATCTAGGCAGGAAAGCATGGCGGCATATCTCCTCCTGTTTATGTTGATAATGGATCGGTAGTGTTCAAAGTACCTGCCAGGAGCTTGCAGTGGTGAATGAACAGCTTGGTAGGCAATATATAAAAATAGAGGCTTTGTGGGGTTATGGGAAGCTAGTATTTGCTGCACCCTCTGAGTGTACATCTGTGTGGAGTATATGCCATTGTCAGAGTCCCAGGCAGCGCTGTCGTTTTCATACAAGTCATAGCCACACATCCCAGGACTGTCACATTTGTAGTGTGTATAGTAATCCCCACTTCCCAAAAGGGAACCAAAAAAGGTGTCAAATCCTCTTTTGGTGGGCATGCATTCTTTTCTGTAAAAACCCAAGTGCCATTTTCCAACCATATGCGTTGAATATCCAACCTCTTTCAGTTTCTGAGGTAGGGTGGCATTGTCCAGAGGTAAACAGTTGGGTTGGGTAGGTCTTATGATAGAATGTTGAAGTCCGGTGTGTATCTGATACCTTAAGAAAAGAGCAAAAATTTTGTTATCAGGGCAGGATAAAAGAGATATTCTACATAAAACAATGATTCCTAAATTAAATAATGTTTCTATGGGGATGATTGTTAAATTATAATGGACCCCAATGATAAATGACCAATTCAGCATTTCTACTCTTTACTCACAAGTCTTAATCTAATTAGCTTCCTATTTAAATGGAAATACATTTCGATCTAAACCAGCACTTTTGATACTAAGATTTTCCCACTTATCTCAAAGTCTTTTTGAGACAGAGTCTCATTCTGTCGCCCAGGTTGGAGTGCAGTGACGTGATCTCGGCTGACTGCAACCTCTGCCACCCGGGTTCAAGCACTCCTCCTGCCTCAGCCTCCCCAGTAGCACACGCCACCATGCCCAGCTAATTTTTGTATTTTTAGTAGAGACAGGGTTTCACCATGTTGGTCAGGCTGTTCTCAAACTTCTGACCTCCAGTGATCTGCCTTCCTTGGCCTCCCAAAGTGCTGGGATTATAGGCGCAAAGCCACCGTGCCCAGCCTCAAAGTCTTTTTAAAGTTCTTATAATAGAATTAATTTGAATAAACTTTAATCTCTTAATTATATGACTGAAAATTGACAAGATAAGAAAAGACATATAGAATCAGATTATTATTATTATTGCTTTTAACCTAGGGACCTTCAAATCATTAGCTTTTAAATAGTTTCCTGAGATCATTTATTTCAAGCTAACTCTGAAGTACTAAAAATACATGCAAAAATTATAGAAAAATCTCCTCTTTGTCAAACAATAGTTTATTCTGAATCTCCAATCTGTTAGATCTCTGAAAGAAGAAAGAAGTTTTTGACTACACAATACATTATTGCTTAAAAATCATTTTAGAATAAAAGTTTTAGCTAGTGCTACAAATTATTTTTCCAAAAATAACAGGTAATAAGTCCTTATGTATGTTTCCCACAGTGTCTCCTTTTTAAAAAAGTATAATCACTTATAGGATAGTCTAAGAAAACATAACACTTTCTAATATGTTAAAAATTAAGTGAATGTTAGTTTCTTGCATTTTTCTCTTTCCAGCGATATTTTGCCAAGGGTGTTTTCCAAGAAGGGATATTATTACACAAGTGTATGAATTTTCACTTGGGCCAAGATATATCAGTTAGTTTATGGTATTTTAAAACTGATTGATTCTATAGTTATAAGTTCAAAAACATTTTAAAAATAGAATATATAAAAATTTTTAAAAATTAAGGTTGCAGAAAATTGTCAGGGTAAATATGTAGGTTTTCTTGGAATCAAATTACAAAAAAATATTGAGGTCAAAAGCAACTTTTTCACAGTGATTTAACCTGAAAGGCCAACATGTTATACATGCCTTGGATGAATAGTTCAATTTATTTTTAATGTTTTAATGATACCATGATGAAACTATGAGTTTTTTGAAGTGTTACTTGCAGCCACACACTGATATTTCTGTGTGCACTGAAGTAATATCTGATCACTACTGCAAAGCAGCCTTCACATAAACCCTGTTTACTCTGCTGATCATTTAGCTGTCAGTTTTGCAATAGTCATGGTTGTCGTAATTCAAAATGTAAGAAACTCCCAAAGAAATAAACATTATAAGTACCAAGTTTAGAAGGCATTGTTACTGGTGTTTTTTTTTTTTTTTTTTTTTTTTTGTTTTTTTTTTTTTTTTTTTTTTTTTTTTTTGGTGACAGAGTTTTGCTCTTGTTGCCCAGGCTGGAGTGCAATGGCACAACCTTGGCTCATCACAACCTCCGCCTCCAGAGTTCAAGCGATTCTCCTACGTCAGCCTCCCAAGTAGCTGGNTTTTGGTTTGGGTTTTGTTTTTGTTTTTGTTTTTTTGTTTGGAGATGGAGTCTTGCTCTTGTTGCCCAGGCTGCAGTGCAATGGCACAACCTTGGCTCATCACAACTCTGCCCCCCAGATTCAAGCGATTGTCCTGCCTCAACCTCCCAGTTAGCTGACCTCAGGTGATCCACCTGCCCTGGCCTCCTAAAGTGCTGGAATTATAGGTGTGTGTGACCGCACCTGGCCTTTTCTTGATCCAGTCCAGGATACAAAACATTCAGTTGTGAAAATCTAATTTTTTAACAACTGAATGTTTTAGACAGAGGTGGATGTTTTTGAAAATTAGAAAAAAACTAATTTTTCACACAAGTACATGACAAATCAGTAAATACCCATTAATGGAAACTTGGAGGAAATTAAAAAGGGAGACATCTATATGGGTAAAAATTTTGGGAATCATTCATGGGGATGAGTTATTAACAAAAGAATTATATTATGCAGAATATGGACTTGAGGGGAATGTCTATTTAATTCATGAAATGGTAAACTAATTAAGCATTTCTAATTAAGTCGGTTATTTTCTCAACTAATGGCAAAAGCAATAAGAATAGAGACTTATGAAAAACATAAAATACAGGAAAAGTTTGCAGAAAATAAAGAGAAGGCAAGAAGAGGTTTGCTACTTTCAGAAAATGGTGTAGCATTTGCAGATAAGTAAGAGTTCAGAGCTATTAATCAACTATGAGGTTTTTGTCTTCTTTAGATAGTACAATTGTTTTTAAATTGGAAAATTTAGAACCAGTAACATAAAAGTTTGACAGCAGCTTATAACAGGGAAGAGGTTTTCAGGGCAGCTCCTGCTTAAATGAGCTCCAGCCTCTATGGTGGAATAGGAGAAAATTTCAGGTAATTTGCGGTGTGGGATAAGGGTGTAGGTTTTGGAATCAAACAGACCTGGGTTTCAATTTGCTCCACTGCTTATTATCTGTGTGGCTTTGGGAAGTACTTAATCCCTCTGATCCTCAGTTTCCTCATCTGTAAAATAGGGATAATAATACATGTTGGGTTGCTGCAAGCATTGGAAAGGAGCAGAGTCTAGTAAGAAGAGTACATTTAATCAGTGATAGCTTTAGCAGTTATTATCCCAGAGGGCTGAATCAGGTGTCACTAACATTTGCATAAAGCTTTATAATTTGTAGATTTTTTTCGTATGTATTATTGCATTTAAGTCTTACTACAACAGTGAGAAGTCAGATTACTTAAGTTCCTTTTATGGATAGGAAAATAGAGATGTAAAGAAGTTATGGTTTTCTCCCCAACACCCACAACCTGCTCCACCAGGCTGTGAAACTGATTCTCGATCAGCAGTGGCAGTCTGATGCTCTCTCAATTCTTTTTTAGGAGTTAATATCTGAACTTATTGGAAAATCAAGGAGCAGAGGAAAGATGCCGGAAGTCTTGAGAAGCAAATCTGCTCCAACTTTCCAATGAAAGAAAGGATGGATTTGTAAACCGGATAGTGAGGTTTATGTTGATCCCTGAAAATTTGAAAATGATTTTTTTAAAGTACATGATTTGTGAGCATTTCAAAAATAACAAATGAGACAAGTCAAAAAAGAAAAGTTCTGCCAAGTTTGCTTCATTGTCTTTTTTAAAAAAGGATCCGCATTAGGTAAATAGCTTAGGAATGATTTAGCATTTGAAAGAGCTGCCCCTGATTCTTTTTTAATAAAATAATGAAAAATCAACTATATGTTTGTTAGCACTGCAATTGGGGATAAGAATGATACTCTTACATATTAATGACAGTTAATGTAATAAAAAATACTTTTAATTGATATGCTTTTCTGTGGAGCATGTAAGGGAGTTTCATTTAATTGAGAAAAAGAAAAGAAAGAAAAAAAAAACAGAAAATAAGTCCTCACAGCACTATTCACAATAGCAAGACCTGGAGTCAACCTGAATCCCCATAAGCTGGAGACTGCATAAAGAAAATGTGGTACATACAACCGACAGAATACTATGCAGCCATAAAAAAGAACAAAATCATGCCCTTTGAAGTAACATGGATGTAGTTGAAGGCTGTTATCCTAAGTAAATTAATGCAGGAACAGAAAATCAAATACCACATGTTCTCACTTATAAATGAGTACTAAACTTCTATTGCACAGGAACACAAAGAAGGGAACAAAAGACATCAGGGCACACTCACGGGTGATACGTGGAAGAAGGGTGAGGATTGAAAACTACCTGTTGGGTACTATGCTCACTACCTGAGTGATGAAATAACCTGCACACCAAACCTCTGTGACATGCAATTTACACATGTAACAAACTGCACATGAACCCCTTGAACCTAAGATAAAAGCTGGAAGATAAAAAAAGAAAGGGACTAAAGAGGCATAACAATTAAATGCAATATGTGGTTTTGAATTGGAATAGTTTCAATAAAGAACATATTTAGAGAACTGGTGAAACTTAAATTGGATCTTAGGATTGAAATAGAATAACAATATTTTCTGATTTTGATTTTTTTTTTGTGGCTAATATAATACCCTTGTCTGTAGGAAATACTAAAGTATTGATAGGACAGCATGTTGGCTCTTAATTCTCAGTTCGGGAAAAGTGTTATTTGTGCTGTACTTGCAATTTTTCCATAAGTATAAGATTGTTTCAAAATTTAAAACAAGATGTAAGAAAAATCTAACTGGGATAAACAAAAGATATTTTAGTTAAAAAATAAATTTTTTACATGTTAGTTATATAAGACAAATAAATGGATCTGAGAAATTAAATATGTTAGCCCACAAATTTAATAAAAAGCAAAAGCGACAAATGAAAGTTATAATTGTAATTAATCTTTACATCATATAAAGACAGTGTGCAAATTCTGATGAGTAACAATTCCGTTATGTTCGTTAGAACATATCTGAAAAATAGCATTCAATATTTAAGCATGTACTCCTAATATATGTATATTTACTTATTTATAAGTTACACTCATGCATATTGTATTAATTTAGGAATATTATAAAACTTACACAGAATAGAAATTGAAAAGGGTAAGATAAAAATAAATGTAAGTAGAATTTCTTATATTTCTTTTTGCATCCTAATGAATCATGTTACCTTACTTTTTTGTGTATATACACAATTTGGAGACCACTGAAAGTGGATTTTAGACAGATGAGAAC